TAATCACTACCAGAGCCTCTTTCACCCTCAGAATATCCTGACGTGGGTGATAAGCTGTATATGGTCACCCTGACTACATCTCTTCCTCCCCAGCCCAGGCCCCTGTGGGGTGACCAGACGTGGCAATAGGGTAGGGGTCAGGGGAGGGGACCGAGAGAGACAGAGGGAGGGTTAGAGATGGAGAGACAGAGAGAGAAATGCTTGGAGAGAGTTGACGGAAAGTGCTTTGGGGCCTTAGGATCAGAAATCGTTGCTGAAAACCAGACCACTGGAGGGAGGAGAGATTCTTGAGAAAGTGATCTTCTTGAGAAAATCAGAAAGACTAGCAATTATGGCTGCAGGCATGAGTCGGGCAGGGCCAGGAGCCAGGACAGCTTGGGGTAGGGGTGGAGGGATAGCTAAGGGATTGGAACCTGCACCACAAGTGTGTCCTACACCCATGCCCCACCTGAGCACTGACCCAGCCGTCCTTTCCCTAACCACTGCTCAGTGCTGCTCAGTCCTGGGCTCCAGGGAGGAATTGCAGGGGGAGACCTCAGACCTCTGTCCTCGTGGCCAGCTCTTCTACCTGGAAGCCTCCAGCCACACACCCACCACATTCACTGTCCAAACCTACTTCCCAAATGGCGACACCATTCACCTCAACCCCAAGCCAGAAAACGCTGCACTGTCCTGGCTTCCTTCCCTCTTTCCCACATCCTGGGCCCCTGGGGCAGTAGCCTCCTTGCCCAACTCATGCCTTCTCATGGGCCCCGCTCCATTCCCTGCTCTCTATTATTCCTCCCCTGCCCCAAGCTATTATAACACACCAAACACTCCACCCTTCCCCTGTTCAGAACCCTTCCACAGCCAGCCAGAAGTTTCCCAGTAGGGCCAGATTCCTCAGCTTAGCGTGCGAGACCCTCCAAGAGTAGAAACGCTCTCTCTGACCTCTTCTCTACCCCACTTCACCTCTCTCTCTGACCTCTTCTCTACCCCCTTCACGGGAAGCTTTTGCTCCTGTCACACTGAACCAAAGTGCCCTGGATGGCTCCTGAAGTCTCCCAGGTGCACTTGCCCAGCCCGGGCACCCCCATCTATTGCACCCCTCCCTTACTGACTCCTCGTCCTTCCAGAAGCAGGTGGGCTGCACTCCAAGACACCCCCAGTGTCCTGCGGGTTAGGTGCCCTCTGCACTCCCAGGGCCACACACGTTTAGTCCCCTCAGCCCACCTCCCACCCTCCTCTCTGCACAGCAGTGGCTTGGATGCGTCTGTCTCTCCCCTGCAGCCTGGAAGCGCTCACGTCTTAATCCTCTTGTTTTTACCTCCAATGCCTAGCCCACAACCTAATGCCCTAACATTCACAAATAATTTTGAGTCCTGGCTAAGTGCCAGGACTACAGAACTAAAATGGGAGACCCCATCCTCAAGGAGTTACATTTTAGACGGGAAACAGATAATAAAATAGACAGGTTAATATGTAATATTTGATATCGATATATAATTTATAGTAGCAGTTAATGTATACCATATGATAATGTGGAGCCCTGGTGGCTCAGTGGTTAAGAGCTTGGCTGCTAACCAAAGGTGGGCAGTTAGAATCCATCAGCCACTCCTTGGAAATCCTGTGGGGCAGTTCCACTCTGTCTTACAGGGTGCTCTGAGTTGAGATCGACTGGCAGCAACAAATTTATATGATAATATAGTATAACATAATGTAATATAATGCCAGTGGAAAGCACTGTGAAGAAAAATGAAGCTGAGAAAGGGGAAGAGAACGATTTGTGGGGAGGGTGTCTTTTGAACAGAGTCCCTGGTTGGCGCAAACCTTAAGCTCTAGGCTGCTAACCAAAAGGCTGGCCATTCTAATCCACTCCTAGTCCTCTCGGGAAGAGAGACTTGGCGATCTGCTTCCAAAAGATCCCAGCCACTGAAAACCGTATGGAGTGCAGTGCTGCTCTAAAACACACGGGGTTGCCATGAGTTGAAATCTACTTGATGGCAACTTTTTTGATATTTTTAACAGACCGCCTAAAGTGCCTTGAAGCAGACGTGTAAAGGAAATGAAGAGCAAGGTTTGCAGCTATCTGGGGAAGAGCACATCACATCATCAACAACAGCAAGTGCAAAGGTCTTGAGGCAGGACTGGACTAGGAGACATGAGCACTATGCAGAAGAGCCTTGTGGCTGGAGTAGGGTGAGCAAGGGGGGGCTGCACTCTGCTGCTGGAAATGACTGCAGCAAGAGAGTGGGGGACGCATTCTACTCTCCTAGAGAGCGTGCTGAGAGAAGAGAAGGACTGGGCGGGCGGGAGGGGGGGGCGCAGAAAATTTGCCTGGCTAAAACAGACCAGAAATGACACCTTCAGTGACGCTGTCGGCAGCAGCCTTACCTCAGGGTGCTCTTCTTCAGCACGATGGCGTCTAAACAGAAAAAGCAGGGCATTAGGAAGGTAGTGCTGTGACTCCAGCTGCAGCTCACTCAGTCCCCCCAGCCACAGGCAAGTGGGAAGGGTCACAGCCAACCTGACTTTGGCAGAGCTAAGAGGATCCAGGAGTAGGGCCACAAGGAGGGGCTGACTGCTCTGCTCCTCTCCCCACATTACCCCCCTGCACCCTGCACTCCCCTGCACCTCCTGTACCCCTTCACCCCCCTATAACACCTACCACCACCCCTGCACCCTCTGCCAGTTATTGCTTCTTTACCTGGGAACAGTCACTAAGGTGCATTAGCTTGGCTCACAGGTGGGACTGAGCATACCCAAAGCCCTCCCCCTTCCTCCCTGTATCTCCTTGCCCGCCCCTGGCCTCCTTGTAGGTCCTGGCCCTCTTGTTAGCTGATGTCCTCAGGAGACCAGGCTGCCTGGCTGCTATGTGATTAAGAGGCGCTTTTCTCTCCCCCTTATTTATAAGGGTGCACGATCAATAATCAGCAAACACCTAGGACAGATGAACCCCCTCCTGCAACTGGACAGGCCAGCATCTCAGGAAGCCCTTACTGGTCTGGCCTCCTTGTCTCCCTGGCCCAGGTTCCCCAACCCCCTGCATATCTTCACAGCTAATAATGGCATTTTCCAGGAACACAATGAGGCTCCTTCCTCCTCATCCTCAGAAATACATCCTGGAAAACTGCATTATCATTCCACTAAGCAGTTCTCCATGACAGAGGATGGCTTTTGTGGGTCACACATTAGGAAAGAGGGGATGCAAATGTATGTTGGACTTTGCTGTCAAAACTCACAAACTGCTTAGCATCTGCTTGGAAGGTGAGCTCCCCAGTAGTGCTACAGGAGTGCTCCCCTGCAGTGCTACAGGACCTCTCCCCTGCAGTGCCACATGACCTCTCCACTGTAGTGCTACA